GGACACCATCATGTCCATCTCATTTTTGTATTTTTTGGCAGAGATAGGGTTTTGCATGTTGCCCAGGCTGGTCTTGAACTCCTGGGCTCAAGCAATCTACCTCCCTTAGACTCCCAAAGTGCTAGGTACAAGAGTGAGCCACCGCACCCAGCCGCAAAAAGCAAACATATGTTAACAGACTTTTAAAATAATTGTCTTTGTTATTACACAAAAATTTGACAAGTGGTAGTTTCTTCAAGTTACAAAGCGAAATTTGAAACCACATCAATGAGCTTTTCACACTGCATCAAAAGCCACTAGTCTATCTTGTACTTTTTTTCAAAAAGAGATGGAGTCTTGCTCTATTGCCTAGGCTGGAGTACAGTGGCGTGATCTCAGCTCACTGCAACGCCTCCCGTGTTCAAGCTATTCTCCTGCCTCAGCCTCCCAAGTAGCTGGAATTACAGGTGCCTGCGACCACAGCTGGCTAATGTTTGTATTTAGCAGAGATGGTGTTTCAGCATGTAGGCCAGGCTGGTCTTGAACGCCTGACCTCGAGTGATCCACCTGCCTCAGACTCCCAAAGTGCTGGGATGACAGGTGTGAGGCACCATGCCCAGCCTGCCCTGTACTCTGAATGTGCTTTTTACCTATGCATGGTTCTGTAACAGCATACACTGGACATTCTGAAAATATTGGCTCATCAAGTTATTCAAATATTCCAAATGTTGAAACACTTCATTATACAATATCAAAAAATCAAATGACTACATTTCCAAAGACTTTTCTATCTCATCATAAAAGTCTTGGGGCAGCTATCAAGTTCATGGTGTTACAGACACGTTTTTTACTATCCTAATTTCCACCTGAGAGTTGGATTTTACTGTTGGCAACAAATACTGTCAGTTGTTTATCTTGAAGTGACAGACTCAGCTCATCATTTAAGAAACTGCCTGCCAAATATCCAAGTCTGAATAACCAGTTTGTAAGACAGCTGTTCTTTCAAATAAAACTGGTACTCCATGAAAAAAGGCAGCTAGTTCACCTCTCAATTCAAATAACTGCATGAGGGCCAGAGGTGGACCATCATACTTTGGCATGCAGTATATGTGCCTTATGCATATTTTTTGTCTTGTCACAAAGAATATTACACATACATGTTCTCAAGGGCTAAGATTTAATAAAATTAATAATTGTTACTGCTTAATACAGAACACTCAACTTTTAATGTTTTTTGATTTTGATTTTTAATAGAGAAAATATGTCAAGGAAGAATGCAAGGCCTACTAGGATAGAACGCTTCAATGCCTGCCTTGATTCAGGCTAAGTTGCCACCATTTCACCCCCCATAGTCTTTCTGCCATCAGTGCAGATGCCAACGCAGTGGGAAGGGCAGATGACAGATTAATGTTACTATGAAAGTGGGCTTGGTTAGGTGTGGTGGTTCACACCTGTAATCCCATCACTTTGGGAGGCCAGGGTAGGAGGATCGTTTGAGCCCAGGAGTTTAAAACTATCCTGGGCAACATAGTGAGACCTCATCTCTACCAAA